ACTAAAAAAAAAAAAAAAAACCGTAAGCATGAATAAGGTGTTGAATGAATAATGCAAACAAAACAGTTGTGTCATGAAACTCTAGATGCCACAAACTGATAGGTCTTTTACGTGCAAACTAGAATTCATATAATTTACTACATGACAAGAGCTGATTGGCCACTGCTGATTCTGCAGCCAATAAGACTGCTTGCTCAACATTTAAATAGTTTGATTCAGGGTTTGCTGTAAGCTGGTCCTGTAGTGCACTCCACCTCCCCAAGCTCCACATGTCTAGATCTGCTATGGGATTTATATATGCCCATTCATGCAAAATGATTCATTAAATGTATTGGTAAAACTGATTATTATAATATCATTATTTTAACAGTGCTACTGCTTACCAACAATTTTACTGTCATCCCTGTCAAGATGCCTCTGCCACATTGCAAAGGCCTCCTCTGAAATCCTGCAGGAGACAATGAGTGATTTAAAGGCTCTAAATGACTCCAGATAAGTTTGCTCCTTTCAAGATCTGTCTCTTTGCGGAGTACCTGAATCGTGTGTATGTTTGTTCCTTCATTTCCATAACTGCAGGACGTTTGGATGGACGACGGTTAATTTCTGTATGAAGCCTGTCCAGGAGGAACCGCAAGAACTCCTGAGCATCTTGCTGACTGTGTGAGTGAGAAATTAAATGGATAGATTATTTGTCTGCAAAATATTATATGCATAACAACTGAGAAGGATTTCTCTAAACACCAGTACCCTAGCACACATTTTAAATACTGTGTTTTTCAGAGAAATCTGAATAGATATCTGTAATAATTTGTATTGAACAAACCTATAGCCACTGAATTAAGGCACTGACTCTTTAAAGACGTGATAAAACTTCCCAGGATTCACTGTGGTTTCCCCACCATCACATTCCCACAAGCCAGCCAAAACTTTAGAAAATTCTACAATAAAGTCATCAACAAAAATATTTAAGAAAGTAGTAGAGGAATGCCTGATTTTAAAATCATTAAATTGATATATAAAATGTAAAACAAAATAATAATTCAAATAAATCTTTTTAGCATTATTTTTAAGTAACCATGCAGCCCCAAACCCCTCAAATTTTAATTTGCTGTACAACTTCACCCCTTATTAAATAACAGCTGAAGTGTGCTTACCATTCATAAGCACAGGTTCCTGGTTGGAGTGTTTGTCCTGAAGGTAAGTTCTCATCAGACAGTAGTCCCGAAGACTACGAGTGTGAGAGAGACACTGCACGATGGCATTAAGGAAACACTACAAACAAAAGAGAACCTCTGAATATGTATGGGAGAGATTTTTTTCTTGCAAACATAAGCATTAAAACCTGTCTTTGAATTAGAACATACAGTATTTCCAGCGTTACGCAGTCCAACTTGTCCATTTCCCAGTTGCAGCTCTTTCTATAGGATGAAAAGTGACAGCAAATGACTGTCAGTGTGACTTCCTCAATTACATCACAAGCGGCAACAGGTTTGCCATTTACTGTCCCTCCTGCAGTGACTGAGTGTCCATTTATAGGTCTATGATCCAATTATAACAGAGGGAAGACACTATCACGTATGACACTGAGGTTAAGACCAGATATACATAACTCGAGGTGAGCACCTACAGGTGCCAAAACACATGTATTTTATGCTTTTTTATAGTAATTATCAATATGGTTTGCAGATAAGCTAAGCCTGTTGTTTCCAGCATATAAGAGTTAACAGAATAGGCCTATATATAATACATGCCATGTGTCAAACACACTAATATGGTTGGTTTCAAACAGAATGTTTCAATGGCATAACACTGCTTCACCTTATTGTCTGTCACCAGCAGGAGTCCCATGATGGATGTGTATAGTACAGACTGTGAAATGTCCACATTCTCTGGCTGATGGCCATTTTGAGTGCCTAAGGTCCGGCACAGGGCCTGACACGAGTTGTCCATTGCAGTGGATTCAGCTCTTGGCATTACCACATCTGCGTGCCTCGCAACCCTGCCAATGATCCTGTGAATTCATTAAGCAACTATATAGATCGTTCTATTGCTAAAAACTTTGGTTTGTGATTCAGTTGTGCACTGTAGCATGAATATTTATTATGGTAACAATCTTTGACAATATGGTGTAAACTTGACATTTTATGTCAAGTCAATTAATTAAAGGCCATACAGGCTGCTACATTATCTGTTTTAACTGATTTTGACTGACTATTTCCCATGTAAAGTGAATAAAAAGAGAAGTGATAATTCACTTGGCTATAGAGTTTAGTTAGTTTAAAAACATTCAAATGGCAGAGAGAGAGAGAGCATTGAGCGGTGGTTAATTAAAAAAGAAAGAAAAAACAGCAAAACTAAAAAAAATAAACGTGTTGTTTTTGTAAAGGTAGCCTATATTTCCAATAAAATTGCATTCATTACATAAAATGATCGCATAAACATTTGTTTATTCACCCTTCAAAACACAGTATGGTCTCCACTTATTTTCCGACTGATGGTCACTGAGAGCCAGTGTTTCTATCCAAACATCAAGCCCAATTTGAAAGTGTATAAGCGTTACTGTGCTCTCATTACACCTGCTGTTCACCTGTCTGTCCTGTCGCTGTGTTTATAAACGAGCTTTAATCATGGCTAATCTTTCCTCTCTCTCTTTAGGACCTTCTATAATTAGCTGCGTATTCGCCTTTGCTTAAGAACAGCTTTGACAATGAGAGGAGACAGTCTGCACGCTACTCAGTCAGTAAACTACAACTGCAGCACATTATGAATAATTAGCCTACTGAAAATATGCTAGTATTAATCACAGTCTATGGTATCAATGTTAATGGAGAGAAATAGTCTTAACTACTATGCATTAGTAGGCGAAAATGGGGTTAGTTGTCACACTAGGACGTTGTGGAAGTCAAAATCGCTCTATTTTATTTTAAGTAAAAAGTTGACAAGTGTATGTTGTCTCTAGCCGTGGTTTTGCATGCTTATGTATCCATAAAATATACTTTAGCTTAATTCAACTCAATATTGTATTTTTGTTGATCATATTTTCTTGCCAAAAAAAAAATGTTCATACAATAATTGACAGACAACAACATGACTGAGAAATAGCATCAGTAAAAACTAGTAAAAGTGAAAACTAGCACTAATCTAATAAGTGAAATTAATGTTAGGAATATTGCTGCTTTGATAAAAAAAAAACAGGTCCACTTTTATGGAAGTTGTCAGTTTATTGAAAACAAAACGGTAACGATTATGCACTGAAATGAAAAAGGGGAACGAATACCTTTGGCATAGAAGTGGCACAGAATACCTATAAAGCAACTGTATATAGTTGTATGTATTTTTGCGACTTTGGGGCCCCCTATAGTTAAATGAGTCGTAATAACAGTGGATTGCTGTACACGTGTATGCATTGCTGCAGTAAAGCAATCTGCCTTTTTAGCCAAAATTTCGTAACCGCTACACACTTCTACAACAGACATACGAGGGGAGCGTTGGAAAGAAGCCGTTCGCCTTATTATTCACTGTACCATTAGAATGATTTTTGAAACGGACATTTCAAGGTAAAACATAAATACAGTTGATTTATATCAAGAGAAAATTAGCATTTAGTCTATATTCAGGTTATATCAGTGAAAGACTTGCAGAACTGTTAGCCCTGATGCTACCAAAATGCAATGACAAAAATCCTGGACTCATCTAAGATTAGTTACCGTTCAGATTGCACAAATGTTGTTGTTTATTAACTATATGAAATAGAAATGGTGCCAATTTAAAGGAATGAGGAACTGAGAGATGGTTCCAATGGCACATAGCCTAAAACATATATTCAACAAATATCACACAGTATTCTCAATGTAAAAAAACAAACAACAACAAAAACAGGTTAAGCAAGAGGCATAAATCTAATATTAAATATTCTCCTTATGAGACATCTGACACCAACAAACATCCACATGTGAAGTATACAAATATAGCTACATGACATTATTCTCACAGTTTCTAGACAGGGTGTAAGACAGCAACTGTGTGATCTCAGTTGTTCTGAGAAAGTCGGCTGACACAGTTACAATAACAGTGAAATTCTGTGTTTGTGAATGAACTGGAAAGCACCGGTGGCCCTGGTCTATGTGTCTGGCATCTCCACATCAGAGTTAAGGTTGAGTTCAGCTATGTTGTTATAGAGTGCAGGGTCAGGGCTTAAACGCTCGGAGGGTTTGCAGTGGCTGCTTTGAGCCTGTCTGTCCCGTGATTGGACCATTGCTTGGCGCAGACATGAAATCCATTGCTGCTTATTGAAGGAGTCATTAGCCTGCAGGCTGTGGGATTGAGACTTGGAGCGCCCTGTGGCACTCACGCGAAAACAGTTCTTCACTGGGAGGGAATTAGAAATAAAATGTGGAATTAAAATGAAGTGAAAGCAATTAAAACACATCCGATGTTAAATTAAAAGCATATAGAATTACAAAACAGTTAAACATTTAAGCCTCTAATGCATGCATTATAAAAGCAATAGTAAATCAAAATAAACTTCTTAGTATTATTATTATTTTTAAATTATTTTAAAACATTTTAAAATACTGAAAAGTTTAAATATTGAATAATTTAGAAATTAATATTGAAAATTTGAACAATTTATGTATGTTGCCTGTGAAAAGTATTTAACTCAGTGCTTGAAGTGGAAAAAAAGAAGTGATTAGATCAGTAATTACACAAACCTTTTCAATACAAATAACCACAAGTCAAGCTGTGATACCAAACAGGACCACAGAGAGACGTCAAAGACCACTAAAACTCCACTGGATACATTCAGAATCGCTAAACTTCTTACCACCGCATAGCACCTCAGCCAGCCAGTGTCCATTATAAAACATTCTTGCTTTTAATCCAAATACACAATGAAAAGAATAATTTACTGACATCTGGACGTGAGTCACTATTCTCTCCACAATCTCTGATTAAATTGGCCGTGTTTTTCTCTGCATTAGCAGTTTTGTCCAACTGTTTGAATTCGCTTACTGGATCCTTGGACTTTCCAGAAGTTTATCGGTTTCCATTAATAATCGCAAAAACTTGCTTCTTTTCTACTGACACCTGGACGTGAGTCACTATTCTCTCCACAATCTCTGATTAAATTGGCCGTGTTTTTCTCTGCATTAGCAGTTTTGTCCAACTGTTTGAATTCGCTTACTGGATCCTTGGACTTTCCAGAAGTTTATCGGTTTCCATTAATAATCGCAAAAACTTGCTTCTTTTCATTTTTAAGGTATTGTTTTCGTTGTAGTGTACTGATTCAAATTAGTAATTAATTATTATTATACTTCTCCTGACATGCTCTTGCACCTTGCACAATTTGGCTGAAAGGATAACAGTAGCCATAGTGAAACAGGACAGCGCCCAAACATCCTCACATTATATTATTTCTTTGAAAATGTATATGAATTCTCCATCTTTCTAAAGAAGTTGACGCAAACATGGGATTATCAATGTTTTTCTATTGTGTTAGACGTGTATGCCTTTGGACTTAAATGGACTGAGTTGTTTTATGCATTTTTGTGATTACAAATAAATGGAGCAGTCGTGACTGAACAAGTATGTTTTCTCATTATATGTAAAATAGCGCCCTCTAGCGGCGAAAATTACATATTGTGCCTTTAAATGTTCAAATGTTTTTTCGGGTTGGGTATATTCTGATTGGCTGTCAATGTTTTTATTGATCATCATCATCATAATTCCAATGGTATTGTTCATCTGTGTCTGTAGCTGTTATGTGGACATCCCTATGGAAGCCTATTTTTGCAAAGAAAAAAAAGGAAATTGAACTTTTTGTCTTAAAATTCTATATGTTGTAAACACAAAAGAAAGTCAGAATTGTATATAAACTGAATTCCGACTTTTTTCATGTAATTTCATGTAATTCTGAGTTTATTCTGACAATTCTGAGTTTATATCTCGGAATGTGGACATTTCTCTCAGAATTCTGAGTTAATTTCTTGCAATTCTCTGTTTTTTATTGCTCGCTAGAAATAGGCTTCCATACTCTTCCCCTTTCTCATAGAATTTGAACGATAATTGAAACTTCACAGATTTGTTTATCATCCTCAGTGTGAATGGGCCTTTAGAGTTGCATCGATAATAGCAGAGGCAACTGTCACTCACATTTTTGAACATAGACGTGAAAGTGCACGATCCAAACTTAAACTTTTATAATTCATGAACTCGTGACTGAACAAGTATGTTTTCTCATTATATGTAAAATAATTAAATATATTATTTGGATTGAGCATCACTGATGTGCACTTCTGACACAAAGTAATAAATTACTGTCACTGTAACTTTTTTAATCGTAAATCATTGGTAAAATATCGATGCTGAAGACTTTTTAAATATTTATAAGGACGAAACGTCCGCTTCTGTCAAGTTCGATTTGTGATCGTTTTTCCAATTGCAAGAATTGGGCGTACCAGTACTGCTTACCGGTGCGTACCGGCCCACTTCAAGCACTGATTTAATTCAACACTTTTGTCAAACTAAATTGATATGACTGTAACTGTTTTAAAATAATGTTTACTCACTAGTAAATTTAAATCATATTTTTTACTGCAAGAAAAAAGTTGGTTTATTCAAATTGAAATTTCTTCCATTAAAAAAAAAAAAGCATTCTGGTTACCTTAATTTTTCTTATTTTTTTAAGCAATTGATAAATCAAAATGAATTTTTAAATTTTGTTTTATTATTTTAAAAAATATATTAAAATACTGAAAATTTTTTAATATTGAGTATTATATAATAATATAAAAATATAACATACAGTGAAAAGAAATTAAACACTTTGCTACTGTTAAACTAAATAATCGGTTTATTCAATTTCAATGGTAATCATTTTATTGCAATCCTGTATGCGTCATATGCTTTCAACTGAAAAAATAAATAAATAAATAAATCATTATAAGTGTAAGATGCAATGCTGCTACCTTTGTCATTGCCCGTAAAAGCCCCACGAAAGGATCCAGAGCTGCTTGGCTCTCCATCAGGTAGGTCCTCCAGATGGAGGTGAGCAGCTGGGAGGGGCTGACGATACACCTGGAACTGGACTGGTCCTTCCCTATCCTGTGCCACTGGTCGGGTCAAAACCAATACCAGCTCAAAGAGGAACACATGCAGCTTCTAGAGAGGAGAAATTAGAAGGAAAATATCTCTGTGGATTGTTTTTAGTTTAAACACTGGAATGATGAAATGCTATACATTTGTTGAAAAGATAAAATATCAATTTAGATGAAAAACACGCAGTTACCTGTCCTTTAGTACTCTTTAGTTCACCATGGCAGTATAAAAAACGAGATGCCTGGATTTCTGAAACCCTCTGGCTGTCTTCTGAGTAGCACAGCCCCCGTCTGTAAAACTGACACTCAGCCTCTCCAGTTTTAAGGTTGACTTCTGTTATAATCCTTTGGATTAGTTCCATCTGAGGTAACAAGAAATAAAGGGATATACTAGCTGCATTGTTACAACATTAGGTGGCAGGCAGTGTTGCCAAGTCCGCGGGAATTGGACTACTTTAACATTCATTCTGCAGGATGTTTTTCCATGTCCGCGGGTTGAAGCGACCCCAATAGCGTGATATTTAGCCCCTGGAATGCGACTTTTATCAGGGGAACCCCACCAAAAAAAATGTATTTTACCCTCCAGAATGCGATGTTTACTGGGGGATCCCCCCTGAAAGCGATTGGGGTAATTTTGAGTAGCAACTGGGCGGATTTTGCTGTCAAAACCTGGCAACCCTGGTGGCAGGTCTTGAAAAGTGAATCACTGAATCACTCAACCAATTGTTTATAGGCAACAATAAAGGTAGCTGCATTGCATCTTAGCATCCTAGCATACTACCCTTACTATTTCTCCAATATATGGCACAAATATGGCTTCATGTCTGAATAATTTCATCAATCACTCAACCATTTTGTTCAAAACGTTAACTGAGTACCAAATGATGCACTATACAATATGCACTTATACACTATGTACTTGCACACCATGTACTCAACCATGCAGTGTATGAATTATATAAGGTTATTTTGTCATTCATAATTGGAGTCTGATAGCCCCTCCCCCTTCGCAAAGTAATTAAAGTTGTGACAGTTGAATGCATGAAGTGTCCAAGATTCCACACTTAGTTTTTTCGGTTATTTAAGTGCATCATCCGGGTATTTAAAGTGCACTTTTTCTTTTTGGAATGTTCAATTCCCGACATTAAACAAATAGCCATTTACATGCTTAGGACGTTTGCGTTGTGAAGAATGTACAGTGAGACTTCAGATATAAAAACGCTGACTTGTTAGGCGATGTTTTCTCATTTAAATCCTACAACTTCCTATTAATTCAATAGATTATTATATTATAGTAAAATAGTGAAGTAAACTTAGCAGAGGGGACGGGTGACAGTTAAAGGGTTAAGAAAAATGGACTACAACAATGTTTTGTTATTATCTTTACATGTTGGTAGGCTGTCAAACATAAGACTGACCCAGTCCATCATGGTCGGGCCGACTTCTTGCACAGTCTTCTCTGCTCCACGAAGACCTTCAAGACGAGCTAAAAGATCTAAATGCACAGGTAAATAATTGTGAATACACAATCATATCTCAAAGAAACAACTACAAAGAGTTCACTAACATTTACCTTCATGAAGGGGTATTAAAGAATCAAGGGTTCCAAATATCTGTCCCAGCTCACTTTCTGTCATGATGTCTAATTTCAGCATTGGTTCATAATACACCTGTCAGGAGAGTTGAAATTAAATTCACTCCATAAAGACAGTAGAAACAAAGCTGCTGAATTCTGCACAAACCTTTTTCACTAGACTTAGATCCTCAATGAGCTGTTTCTCACCCTGGGTTAACTCATAGATCACCTGCAGGTGAAGAAAATAAAAAGGTAGATAATACATAAATGAAGGGTAAGACTGCACAGGTAGTGCTAACCTCATGAGGCCTTACATAAGTTGAAGATACCACAAATTCGCACACTTTTGTAACTGCTACCAGTCAGTTTTGGCAGAGCCTTTCAGAGGAAATTCTGACACTGAAATAGAGAACATGGCTTTGTATACCAGCTCACTTCCTGTTTCACAACTAAGGTAGTGAAGACAGAGTTGGGCCACTGAAAGCTCTTTAAAAATGTATTAAGGTACACGAGCCAAAACTACCAGCCTGGTGTAACTTGTTAATAAAGAATTGAATGACATCATGCAAAAAATAAACTTGAAAGAGTACGAAGCATGTCTCTGTGTTGTGGTGTTAATTCAAGCAGCTTTTCACACCTCTTGTCTCTTGATCTCTTTGGTACTGAGCTCGTGGCTCAGACTGTCAACTGTATCACTCCACAGCTGACTGTTCCGCCGGCGTGGAAATGAAGAGGCCTTCTGACGTGTTCTTATTGGCATTGGGGGCAACGGCCGAGCCTCTGTCCGGAAACTGATAGAACGCTGAGGGAAATAAATAAACATACATTCATATTAGTATATATGTATACATATTTGAGATGGATGAGAAAAGCCGAGTGAGTGCATGAAGAGGTTTATTGTACCTGTATGGACTGGCCCAAGCGTTTCAGTGCTGGGGTCTTCATCGGTGTTATGATACCAGTGACTGAAGCACTTTTATATACTGGTTTGACTCTTTTGTTACATGGACCCTAATATGAGGCCAACAGCAGAGAATAAGGGTCAAGGTTAAAATGTACTTGTATCGTTATGTTTTAATGTATCGTGGGCCATTAAATATCTAGCATGCAACACCAAGGCACTGAGAAAGTTAAATTGAAATTTGAGCTTTATCAGACTTGATCATGATGTTTTGACTACTCTAAAGGTTTATAGACCGTTGCTGTGTTGAGCAGAAATGTACTAGAACAAGGATGCATATTAATTTCTGTACCTCCGAATCTTGTATGTGGTCACTGATGGGAAAGTCATCGTCTTCCTGAAAGAGACGTGTAGTGTAGCACAGATGTCAGCACAAGCATATAACCACAAGCAGATGAAAGCCTTGGGACGTACCTAATGATTAATTCAGGAAGAAGTAACTTGGATCCATATCCAGTGTTAGTATGCTATATGTGAAAGCATCTAAACTCACCGCCTGTGGCAGCGCTTCCTCGTCCGGATGCTCAGGTGGAGTGCTCTTCTGAATCTCCTTTAACAGCAGAGGATATTTCACCAGCCTGCTGCGAGGCAAGTCTAGAAAGTTCCACAGGTCTAGCTTTCTGCTGAAGGATGACTCCTGGCACAGCCGCAGGAAATGCTCGACCCGTCTGTCCTGCTTCTTTTGATCGAGCAGAGCTTTTGCCCCAACCTGGTTACAGCAGTATGTGATATACGCCTCCAGACATGGGAACTATGAAAAGACAGCAAAGAGCTTATAACCCACTCAAATATTTTATTGAAGTTCGGTGGGTGAAATTTAAGGCCCGTTCACACCAAGAACAATATCTTATTTATTTACTACTATAAATAAAACTTCAGTTATATATGTATTATATAGTCATAAATGTATTATAAGCGTGAGCTGCTTTTTTGAAGGCACAATATGCTGCTTTAAAGGCACAATATGTACGATTTTTTTATTAAAATATCCAAAAACCACTAGAACAGTGGACCGTGTCCATAGTGTAATTGTGTCGCCTGCCAATGACGTCATAACCCGGCGTCATCAAACTAGCCTTTGCCTCTTTGTTTATTTTGAATACGCGCCCTCTAGCGGCGAAAATTACATATTGTGCCTTTAAAGGGGAACTACATTGCATTATGTTTAAAGGGGGGGTACAATGCTGTTTCATGCATTCAGAGTTGTTTATACTGTTAAAGAGTTAGATTCTCATGCTGAGCATGGACAAAGTTTCAAAAAACTATTTGGACGTATGACAGAGTATTTCTGTGCCAAAAATCTTACTTCCGGGTTCGTACAAATTTCAGAGAGTTTTTTTTCAATCGTGGCTCTTCGTGACGTAGACGAGGGTGGAACTCCTTATATGGGCATTTCTCCCGGAAGTGCGCGCCTGCGCACACATCGACCAGAGCGAGAGCGAGGTCGCACCCATCAACGCGCTTCATCCGGCAGCAGCAGCACTGCACGGGACTCGGTCAGGAAGAATGTCTCTAAAGAAGTGTGTTTTTGGTTGTAAGGGGAAGATAACTTTGTTCAGCTTCCTAAAGACCCCAACGCTTTGTAAACATTGGATACAGTTTGTTTTTCCAGCACAAGCATATAACCACAAGCAGATGAAAGCAGTAAACCTATACACTCGGAGTTTATTCCACCAAATATCAGTAAACAACAATAACACAGAACACAAAAACTTTCACGCACAAATCAGTGAGTGTGTGTTTTTTCAACTACAGCCTCTTTTTTTCTTTTTGCTATGTTACGGTTATAATGAATTTGGAAGCATTTTCCAGCATTCATCATTTTTTTTTTTTTTTACTCAGTTTAACCCTTACCATATACCAAGACTTCATTACTAAAATAAGTCATAAAAAAAAAAATCAATCGTAAAATTTGTTTTAAAAACTATGATCATCTAAAAAGGTATAATCATAAATCTGTCTAAGTTATTTTATATCAAAATCTGACAAGCTATGATGTAATTTCCACAGCAACATTTTTTTTTATTTAAAGAAGTTTGATCAGCTTTTGTAATTTGTTAACAAGGAAATTACTTTTTTTTTTTTTTTTTTGCATAATTTCTAATCAAGCTGCAATTTTGTCAAAGTATTCAAAACGTGTGAATGGCAATGTATTTAGGGTACAATAAATTCTAACTATAAACTTAGCCTTAGCAAAACTAGGCCATTTCCACAACGTCATTTCCACCACAGAATATGAGCAGACCTAATTTGGAAAACATATGGTTCTAGTCCTAGATTCTAATTGGTTTTTACAGTATTGAAGCCGTGTTGTATCAACAGCTTTCACCTGTTCATTATTTCAGGTGTTTTATTAGCGTGAGAGTTTCTTTTTCTAAAAGTCCACAGGGTCAAAAGTGCCAGTATTTGAAGAAACAGCGACAACGGCAAGTGAGACTGAACCGCTATCATTCAGAGTGTGTGCATGTAGCGGATTCAGACAGGAAACTGAGTTGTAAAGCTTTTTTCTTGTCAGCTTTTTCCTCACAGCTGAGCACAAGTTGCTTCATTCTTTTACTGTAAACTTCCTTCAATTCTTTTGAAAGATGAGTGCTCTTTTCTAGATGTCGTGTGTAAGAGACCAGGAAAACCATGGATTGTTATGGAGTCACATGGTCTCAACAAGTTTCCGGTGTAGAGCACAAACAGGTAGACCACCTTCACCATGTCAGACCCTTCAACCCACGTACATTAATCTTAATACATAATCAATTATTAAGTTGAAACATATAGGCAAGAACTTTACCCGCTGATTATCTTTAGATCATCTAAAGACAGACTAACAGGAAATATCGTGGCTGTTTTTGTAACAGATGCTCAAACAATCACATTCAAACATCTAGTACTCTAGAAGACTTATCAGAATGATTTACAGCATACTTAGATCAGGCATGTTGCATCTTATATCATAGATAACAACTTACACAGTCCTCCAAGATTCGGGCTGAATGCTCAGCATCACTACTTGGGTCTTGTTTTCTTTTCTTCTGCTCAGAAACCAACAGATAATACATTGGTGTTCCTCAAAGGAGCAAGACCTACAGTTTAAGGTCTGTCCATCAAAATATGCATAAGATCTACGACCAAAACGAAACTTACCCCAGTGATATCTGACAGGTTGGCGCATGTGAGGAGCCTGTCTCTAGATACAGGAGACCTGAATAAGAATCAAATAAAGTGGAAATATGACACTGAAAAAAAACATGAATGTATTATCTTAGGTGTATAATCCAAATGATCATCTGTTAGTTCATTAGTGAACAGCTATTAGACTTTAGTGAGTTTATAGGCCACAACAGCTGATCAGAATGACAGTTAAACACCAAAATGTCATTTAGTTTGAGCGGCTATTGATCATTTGTGAAAAAGTCATACCAGGAAGGTGATGTATCAACCTCCGTCTCTTCAAGTTCCATCTTTTCCTCTCTCATAGCATCTCCAAATGTGTTTATGAAAAGAAACAGCAGTAACTATAAGAGTATTACATTAAAAATCAGACCATAAATCTTAGAAGCACCTGTTCCTACTTTTCAAAGAAAATACAAAAAAGATAATGTGCACTCTCTCTCAGCCCTCCTCTCTTCCTCTTACACTTGCATGACTGAAACCACATCCTGTGTCAGAAAAAAACATGTACTTCCTGTTGTCAGGCAGAACGAAGGCAAATCAGCCTCTCTTAACGTCTTGACAGATCTTTGAGTTGCTGTGTAATTACGCCAGCCACATATAACTGAAGAGGACGGAAGTTAAAGCAAATCTTCTGACCCATTTCTGAAAATAATACAGTGGTGTCTACGGCTCAGTTGATTAGGTCATGACTGACTCAGTATGACACAGAAATTATGCAAACTTTGGCTTTTCTTGAAACATGTCAGGAAGAAAACATACAAAGCTATGGCCTAAAACAAAAAAGGGCCATAGCTTTTTTTTATTTTTTCATAAAATGTCTGGGAAATAAGGTGCTTTAACTTCAGAAAGTGGTGATGGTCAATCTCGGGAGGTTAAATATGCTATTGGGTTTCCATTGCTATGTATTTACAAGTTTTGCTAAGTTTAAGACATCTAAATAACGTAAATGTAGCCTAAAAAGAGCAGTCACTCAATAATCATTTTGGGACCAATGTTAGTGTGTTAATGTTTAACTTGTATTTCCCTAAAAGAAAAGTACTTTTTTTCAGATAGTAACAGGGTTTAATGGTTGAGCTTGGCAATGCAGTCAGCAAAGTGGATAACTTTCTGGATATGTTGCACATTTACTGTATTTAAAACGCTACTTTAGATGCTAGGTAATCAAAATCAAATGCTTTTAAAAGGGTTAGGTTTAAAATTGTACTTATTCTTGAAAAGAGACATAACCACATGAAGTGCACCCACAAGCACTTGAAAGATAACAACCTGCAGAATGATTCTGTAATGTGATGAGCAAACTTGTAAATTTAATACAGCACCACAAACACGGTTCCAAATGTGAAGCACATAGTGGCAGCATCACACTCTCAGCTTTGCAGCAGGGATAAATTCAGTAGAAAAGGGGGCAAAGTACAATTTAGACAGAAATACAATGAGACAATGTGCTATAATTTAAAGGCCAGTAGGAGTTGGATCATTTAATTTACAGTAAAACTGTGACTCAGAGCACTGTGTAACATCCAAACTGGAATGAATTTAAATCAAAAAGGTTCATGTCAAGAAGTGGCCCAATTAAAGTGGAGTGACTCAACAGCGCATGAAAACGCAATTTTCTCCACAACTGGATAAACTCCTATTATCTAGATTCAAAGCCTTGATCCTAATAAAATTGACCTAGACTACTTATTTCTGCTATTTATTATTGACGTAAAATATTGAAGATTATAACGTTTATATCCATGAACAGCAAATATATTTAAATTGTGACTTTTCTTTCTATAAACAATGAAACACTCCAAGTTGAAAGTGTATTGTGCATCTTACCAACTGAAATATTCCTGATAGCCAGTTTGATTAATTGCAGATTCTTTTATTAACTTTATAGATACATTTTAAAAACAACAGTAGCAAAGAAAAGACAATAAAGCAAGAAAATGTTTTCAACTTTATTCACTAACACACTAAGTGCTCCCATTACAGAGTAAAATCACTTTTTTACTGTAACGTTTTTTTTTTTTTTTGGAGTTTAACAAAGTAGAAAGAATACCGAATTTATGTTCTACAAGGTGTACACCAGAAAAAAACAAAATAAAATAAAAAATGGGGGAGAAAAAAAGGTTATGTGCAAGTTCCTCAACCCAACCCATACAGAAGCCAGAGAGGCAAAGGGATGTTCCCACTGGGCCTATGGGAGAGCAGGAGTTCAGTAAGTGGACCAACTCGCTCCGAGACCTTGGCCAAAAAGAGCGCTTTAAGTTACATTTAAAGGTGACATCAAGCCAAGGCAGTGAATTGAAACAATTAAGCGAACATAACTGATTCTTCTCCTTTGTACTCCATGTTTTGGCATTAGTCAATATTTTACTTCAGAATACAAAGCAAGATGGTGCTGCCCACAAAAGTATCATGAGGACAGGAACAGAGACTGGTGTGAAGATGATTCGGAGGGAGGGAGTGACGAGTTGTGTACAGATAAATTCATACACTGAAGCTGTGCATTACAACAACCAGTTCAAATAAGCTACAGCCAAAGATTCATATGCTCCCCATAATCCTAAACATAACCAGCCTGATTGATTCATACCCTAGAGAGCTCGACCAATAGGGCAAGAGGGGTGTTTGAGATATAATACTTATAGAATTCAGTTACTGATTAAAAAAAAAAAAACTGATTGGTTTCTCTTTGGGCTCTCCAAGCATACTGATACTCCCCCATCCCCAGTGGGCCACCCCTTTCCCGCCACTGACCAGTCCCCTTCCCTACCCCAAAAACCCTCTCAGCGGATGGTGTATCTGACATAGGGGACCTCTACATCCTCTTCTGTCTCGTCATTGCAACAGAGCTCAAAAACTAGTGCTTTAACATGCTTCCCCAGTTTCTTCTTGGACACTTTAGTCACGATCTCAGTCATCCTATGAAACCAAAAACAGAGACAAACATTTCATTTTCTTCAATCTCATATGCCTCACTGCCACCTGTATGATTAGAATTTAGTAAATCTTTGAAGATAGGAAAAAGCAACTCACGGCAGGTCCAGCCGCTCTTTAAGCTTGGCCGCAGGCATGAAGAAAGAGTAGAGCATGGAAACTCCCTGAGAGAGCATAGTGATCTCCAGTTTGTGTTCATTCTGAGGGAGCAACAGAGTGAAAAGGCATTAATTTGTTTGCTTTTACAAGGGATGGACACAAATAGGGCATGGCAAAAAAGCAAATAATATTACTACTTTTTCCCCCATTACATTGAATATTGATATTTATTATATTCAATTCATAAAATTAAATGAAGGAAATGCATTAAATACAGTCATGTGAAAAAGTTAGAGGACACCCTATTGAATTCCATGCTTTTCTGTATCGGGACATAATAAAAAAAATCATCTGGTCCTTGGCAGGCCTTAAAATTTGGAAAATAAAACCTCAGATGAACAACAAAACATGACGTATCACACCTTGTCATAATTTAACAAAAATAAAGCCAAGAGGCAAAAGCCATGTGTGACAAAGTTAGGACACCCTATGATTCAATTGCCTGTAGATCCACTTTTAGCAGAAACTACTTGAAGTAATCATTTACTGTATGACTTTATCAGTCTCTCACATCGTTCTGGAGGAATTCTGGCCCACTCTTCTTTACAACATTGATCCAGTTTATTGAGGTTTGTGGGCATTTGTTAATGCACAGCTCTCGCCACAGCATTTCAGTCAGGATGAGGTCTGGACTTTGACAGGGCTGTTGCAACCCCTTGATTCTTTTCTTTTCAGCCATTCTGTTGTAGATTTGCTGGGGTGCTTGGGATTACGGTCCTGTTGCATCACCCAATTTTGGCCCAACTTTAGCTGTCGGATGTATGTCCTCACATTTGACTCAAGAATACTTTGATATACAGAGGAGTTCATGGTAGACTCAATGACTGTGAGGTGCCCAGGTCCTGTGGCTGCAAAACAAGCCCAAAATCATCAGCCCTCCACCAGGATGCTTGACTTTTGGTATGAGGTGTTTGTGCTGATATGCTTTTTAGGTTTTCACAAAATATGGTACTGTGCATTATGGCCACACATCTCCACTTTGGTCTCGTCTGTTCAAAGGACATTGTTCTAGAAGTTTTAGGATTTATACAGATGCAACTCTGCAAACCTAAACCGTGCTGCCATGTTTTTTTTTTAGAGAGAAGAGCAAACTTTACAAACATGTCATTACTTGTCCCATATTTTTCTAATTGTACTGTCATGAACTATCATTTAACATGTTAAATGAGGCCTGTAGAGTCTGTGGTGGAGTTCTTGGGTTGTCTGCCATTTCTCTGAATGTTACAGTCTGATCTTGGGGTGAATTTGCTGGGACGTCCACTCCTGGTAGGATTGGTGTCTGTTTTGAACGTCTTCTACTTGTGAATAATCTTCCTCACTGTAAAATGATGGACTTCACATTGTTTGGAAATGGCCGTGTTACCCTCCCAAGATTGATGACAGCAACAATTGCTTCACTAAGATCATTGCTGATGTCTTTCCTCTTTGGCATCGTGTTAACACACACCTGAAGGCTCCAGACCAGCAAACCGCCAAAACTTCTGCTTTTATGGAGGTGCTCACACTTGCTGATGATCAGTTAATCAAAGGTATTTGATTAGCAGTGCCTGACTGCTACTTACCCTCTTAATTCCTGTTAACACCAAGGGTGTCCTAACTTTGTCACACATGGCTTTTCCATTTTGGCTTTATTTTTGTTAAATAAACAATGACACAAATAATGCAATGTGTCATGTTTTGTTGTTCATCTGAGGTTTTATTTTTCAAATTTTAAGACCTGCCAAGGACAAGATAATGTTTTATGTCCCGACACAGAAAACCATGGAATTCAATAGGGTGTCCTAACTTTTTCACACGACCATGTTTGTTAGACCTCAAAATGAATTGAATATAATTTCATTGTTTACAAGTAAACTCCAGAGTACGATAACATGAAATCAATAGTATTTTTTTTCTATAGTTTTCCATTGTTTTTTTCCCCTAAATTCCGTTTTGATTACAAATGTATCAAATTGTCTAATTAAATTAATTCTACACATTTAACAATTAAATGGTTTAAAATAAAAATCTAATAAAAAAACTAGACAAATAAACATTCCTTTTATTTATATTTTTTAAACAAAGTGCTGTAAAACAGACCTTTTATAATGTATAAATTAGAACATGGGTTAAAAAACACATCTTGATAGTATGACATTTCTCAATACATTATATAATTTTATTATGATGACTTAGAAGTAAAAGAAGTCTTTACTCTACAATAGCAATATACTTCTGTCATAACTTCAAGTTAAACCAAACAATTATTTTGATTAATTTGTTGTGAAGAGCTTTGAGTACCGTAAATAAAGAAAATTACTACGATGTAATATTACGTATTAAATTATTACGATGTTGATCAATCTTTTCCAATAAATGTCATT